CACATTTACTATTATATGATGAAAACATGTTATTACATGTATGTCACGTACCAATTAATTAAATAAATATTACGAGCTATTTCAATGTTTCCTTACTTTTAACAGTGCCGCTGTTCAAAATTAAATTAATTAATTATTGATATTGTTTCTACAATGTGCTGCTATTAAAAAATTAATATCCATTATTTTCACGATAATATACTTTTGTACAATATAAATGGAAAAATCAACCAAATAGAACCTAATACCTGTGGTATTTTCTAAATGCTTGCATTTACAAAATGTTTATTTTGAAAACTTTCCTCTATAGTAAGATTCCTAAATTATTGGGTCTATTGAACGAATAAACATTTCGATGTATGCTGTTTTTAGACACGTTTTCTTACGTTTAGTACCAATTGCTTGAATAAACTCCATTGTTTACAAAGCATTCGCTAATTCAACGTGTCGAAATGTACTTGAAAGATTAAATCGAGGCTCGTTGAATCAGTGTTATCGGTTCTTCTTATATCTTCATAAAGATAACGGTACGAGTGTGAAAAAAAGAAAAGATATATTTTTTCAATTTCGACACGTGGGCCGGAAGAAACTAGCCTTTCGATCAAAATAATACGACAATTTCAAACAATTACATTCTTCCTTTTTCTTTTGTAAAAGTTCTAAATTTTTGAAGTTCTCATGTTTCATGATATTTCTATTTATCCATAATAAAATTTGTGCAGCGTAAAGCAAAATGCAAGACAAAGTTACAAATAGTTTACCTAACATCATAAGCTAATTCGTAATATGTAAACTTTGTTAAACGATTGAGTGATTTATAAAAATTTGTTATCTCAGAATGTCATTTTTATCATATTTTTACAAGCGATTCTGTTGTTGTTTGTTCGAAATACGTTTTTAATCTTCTAACTAAATCCCACGTATTTAGCTGCAGCAGTCATTAATGTTACTCCATTCTTGATCTTGTGAAATGACAGAGATAGTAACTGGCCCGGAAGCAAAAAATGTTTCTAAAGAATGATAGCTTGCAGGAACGTATAAAAATGCTGTGTAGAAGAAAGCATTACTATTATTATAGCACAAACAGTGATCTGAGCACTTAAAATACTTTAAAGTCTTTCTACAGAGAATTAATTCCGACACAACACGCGATTTCACATGTACTTCCGATATTCTGACGAAAGCTTAAAATAAAAGTTATTCTGACAAAAAGTTATAAAAGTTATTCTGGCAAAAGGTTAAAATGAAGGTTATTCTAACGAAAAGTAAGAAACTGTTTGTTTTTAACAAAAATCAATTTTCAATCAGTTACAAGTTGTAATATCTGAAATTACCAAAAGTTTTTTCTTCGATAAAAGGTTAAGGGTCTTGACTTTTTTAACTGACGTAATTTTTTATTTCATAGCATAGTAATTGGTATCAAAACGAATTCAACAATAAATTATACAAAAAACATAAACTGTAAAATAACATTTCTGAAAGATTTTAAAGATCAAAAAATTTCTTGACTTAGACAATTCTTCGTTTTTACTTATTGGTTAAATCATTACTGAGTACAGACTTTAGTTGCAATCATACAAATTTAGAATCATTTTGTTTTCTTTATTTCAGGTAACGTGGGCGGTTTTACAGTTACAATGCAAACTGTTCTGAAAACCTAAGTAAGCCACCATAACCTTCAACAAAATTATGAGGATTACCTTAAAATTAGTTAATCATTCTTTAAATATTAATAGGAGACGATAGAAATTTCTAAGTATGTATTTTTACTATTTTTCGTTAAAAATATTCCAAACAACGTGTGATTTTTTATATTAATTATATTAATGTGATGCTGTTACAAAGCTCTCTGTTATAATCTTTTTCGAATCATTGCAATTTTAGTTTAAAAACTATTGTTACTATTAAAATATGTATAATGAAATTATTATTAATATGCTTATTTCTGTGATACTATATTAAAAGTTTATTTTTTGAATTGGTATGAGCAAAAATGCAAATAGAATATTCGTGGGGGTACGTAAATGCAATTGCAGTGAAAATTGCAGCACTTTTAGTTTTCTTTTATAATATTTCTGTTCCTATTGATGTATAAGATTTTTAATCCTTCAATTCTTTTTTGGACTAATTCATTAATTAATATCGCGTATTTCGCTTATTCTTTATCGTTACGAATTAAAATAAATTTTAGTCTGCTCAAAATTTAAGCAACAGTTTTGACGTAAGTATATTCATATAAATAAAGAAAACTAAAAGTAAAAGAAGAAATGGTCGTAAAACTAGTTCATTTAGACATGTGTGATGAAATCATTTACGTCAATTTATGTATGTAGCGATAAGTAAGCGTAAACAATTAAGTAAAGATAGTTAACTTATGCCTACTTTCGAAAAGGTCATCATAATTAAAACGTAAAGCGATACTCTTTGCTAACTTTGCAAACAAGAATTTTTCAGGAAAAACACAGATTAATAATGATGATAATATTAAAAATAGTAAGATTCATATAATTCACGATTTCGTAGGTTTTTCGCGGGCATAGCAATCAGAGGATATTAACGAATATGCAGGTGTACTATTATGTACAAAGATACATCGATGCGCTGTATATTTTTTAAATATCTAAATTAAAAAACTATTCAAATACTCAAATTTTCATTTTTCTTAAATAGGAAATTAAAAAATTTTCAAATATTTACTCAAATTTACAAGTATTAAAAATTTCTTTTCCTAAATTTTCAAATTCAAAATCCTCAAATATCAAGACTTTTAAAGCTCCAATAATAAATTTCTGAATTCCGCCAATTTCCAAGTTAATAAATTTCCTAGCTTCCTCATTTTTAAATTAATAAATTATCTAATGCCAAAATCCCTAAATCCCCAAATTTTCAAATTTCAAGTTTTCAATATTGAACATTTCCAGATTCTAAATTTCTAAAATTCTCAAACTCCATTTTTAAATTTCTAACTTTTTAAATTTCCAAATAGAATACAAATTAATTTGTATAATCGTTTCTCAAATTACATACTGGGGAACTGTTGCATATTTTGTCATGTACATTTTATATTTATTTAAAGTAAGATAAATAATTTGAGGATATGTATAACATTTGTGAGAACACCATTTTTCATTTAGCAACATTGAAAAATACATAAAATGTAAAAAATTACATAAAACCAACTGTTAATTTCAGAATTAACAAATTTAAATTAGCAACTTTGATTAAATTGTTTATTTGACACAACAGTATCATATACAGATGAAACAAAATTTAAAAATGATATTTTACATTTTGTGTACTACAACAAGATCTTATATGACAATGTGAAAATTCTAGTTAAAGTATTACAGATACATAGCATATTATTTAATGTACTTCTCTTTGACAATACAAACTATTTAATATTTTTGTGTATAAGAAATATTTAGCTTACTAAATGAACATGCAATAATAAAATTTATATAACAGTGCTATCAAGACCAGCGCGAACGTTTGAAACTGGGTTCCAAAGTTGTGGAACCAGAAGAAACGTGCGGGGAAACTAATTCTCCATTCTAGTCTCCAACTCCTAAATTTCAAATCTCTGAATTACCCAATTTTCAAATATCCAAATTCTCAAGTTCACAGTCCCCAAAATTTTATTCGCAAATTCCTAAATTTTCAAGTGTTAAAATTCGTATACCACCAAAAACCCAAATTTCCAAACTTTCTCAATTTTTTCCATCCGTCATTTTCTCAAACACCTCAAATTTGGTGCTGAATTATGAAACACTTAGAGCTTTTATAAGTTTCCACACTATGCATAGAATATCGAAAAATTTACTATGAACTTTTCATAGACAACAGAGCCACTTCAAACACGGGACAAGGTTTCAGGGAATTATTCTCCTCGCACCGACCCTGAGTACTACTTATACATTAAAAAGGTATAAGGTCAATTTTTACTCTATCATATTGTATGTGTTATATTTCTATTATCGTAGTTAAGGGTTAAAGTTTTAAAATTAGATGTTCCTATATTGTTATTAATAATTTTACATTATCTGTGTAACTCATACAAGCGACAGTTGACGTTTTAAAATTTATACAATAGAAACCTCAACATACCTCATAACATAGCGAATTTTATGAAACGACTAATTAAGTTTCATACGCATTTTACTCTGCCTCAACAATATCATTTTATTATGCTTGTGCGTCATAGGCGTATCGTATTTCAGAATTTCCTCTTTTTTTGTGTTTACGGCTGAAATAACAAAACTCCCAGAGATAAATAATTCTCACGGTTAATATATATAATACAGTTGAAAACTGCATGTCATATAATTCGCAGGGCTTAAGTATCGTGACCAATTTATTGATAACAATAATTTGAGAAGCTCGTTAAAACGACCACTCGAAATTGCATGATTCCGCCGATTATTACTAACCATTTATTTCAAGGTTAGTGAATATATATTCGGTCTAACGATGAACATGCGATGAAATCAATTTTGTATGCAAACACGATAGGTCATGTAAATTGTTTTCAAAATAAAAAATGCCAGATCTATGTACCTCAGACCTTCGATGGCATTCATTTCTCTGCTGACCTACTAAACTGCGATAATCGTTTATATTTAACGTAAGTGCGACGTGTGGATGTACAATGTCCGAGAGAACATTATGCCAATCATATGGTGACCCTCCTGTACAAGCAAATATGCGTTCATACTTTTGATTATATAATAATTTAAAGCAGGTTTCATGTAGGGTACCTAACTGAGAAGGAAGTGATAGAATCACAGACTTCCTCTGTGGGACGTTCATACATAAATAATAGATCATATGGACTACATGAACATTAACAAATAATTTCTTCCAGAATAAGTTACGCCGAAACACTTACAAAATTGATAATGTTTCAAACGATTATCATTGTTTTCCTTTACAACAATGATAAAAAAACAGGATCAATAAATTTAAATCAATTTGGAATACAAATAATTACACTCTAAACATATTTGTTACATGTATTTAATTGTTTTTTCGCAAATCCTTTTAATACATTTTTTACGAGACTAATGCATTTATCACTACCATTGTTGAAAAAATAGTATGAAATTTGTGCACAAGCAATGCTTTTAACAAAAACATGTTTTAGGAACGTTTACATAATTTATTATGAAATTAAAGAAATGAAAATTAATGTCGGTTAGACATGTTTATTTTTAATGTAGATAAATGCATTTATATGCAAATCATTATCACATTTAGTTGTAATATATTTCTTGCAATAGGACAAATTATTTCATACATAGATATTGTATATACATATAATTAAATTAGATACACTGTACTGAATGATAGGAAATAATTATTATAAATCTAATACATGTGTCTTACTATATAAGTATAGTAAGCAGAATGTATTTCATAAATATTTATTCACAGTCTTCAAAAACATAAATTATTATAGACACAGACTAGAAATATGAAGAATATTGGAAACATGAATGATTTCTAAACAAGCTTCTTTGTTTTTATATTTGAATTAAAAATTTATTTCTATTAAAATGTTAAAATAAAGCGAAGAACAATAAAAATTTATATTATATTATTAATTTCAAATTATTATTGTAAGCTGTAATTATCTCAAATAATTGTACTTTTTCTAGTGGCATATTTATAATTGTAGTTTATTCCAGCTAAATATAAATAAAAATTAAGTTATTATGTTCAATGATCATAAATTTGTATTAATAACAGTTAAAATGATTAAACTGAGTTACACATAAATATCCTACCTCTATCTTTTTGTATTTCTAAAAAGTAGTATATTTTTTTTTAAATAAACTTTAAGAATAATTATAAAATCATGACAAACATCTGTCGTTACTTGAGCAAAAACTTCACAGTTACACATATGTATAATATGATTTATTTTATCGATATTAAATTCATTTTAAGTGGGCAAAACATTTGTTTTAAATTTGATGCACTAATTTAAACATGAAATACTTAGTTTATTATTGCAATACAAGTAACAGAATTCATCTTTCACGTTTATTATACTTTCTTTTATATCTCAATTGTTTTGAAACAAAGGAAAAATTAAAATCTTTCTTTTACAGGAACTTATAATTTAAAGTGATTTATAACTTATGTAAAACAGAAACACTAAAAAACGTTGTTAATAATCAGGCAAAACTTAGCTAATATTTAAGGAATGTAAAATTAGCAAATATGAATAGAAAATATTGTTAAATATGTGCATACAATCCATCTATTTTATCTTGCATAATATTTAAATATCTGATTTGCTTTCATTGCATGAAAATGCTCATATTAAAAATGCACACTATGACAAATTTTTAAATTAATTATAACTTCGTAATATACTACTTCAGTTAAGATTCAACTGGAAGACATAAATATATAACTGGATATTGAGTTAAAAAAAAATATTTACATACGTCACATCCATATACAAAAAACTTTCCACTGCATAAGTAAATATACATGATTTTGAATACAATTGTGAAAATTTTCTATTATTATGAACATATGTCATTAGCAAAACTGAGGAAATTTTGTTAACAAATTTAATACTTTATTCAAGATCAATCTTTTATGCTGTTCGCTGAATGATATGGATACCACTATCTGTGTGAACAGGTGAAGACAATTCACCAACTTTAAGTGCAAATGCTGCTTGTTCAAAAGGCTTCTGCATTGCACCTCTACTGAATGGTCCCAAGTCTCCACCTCGCTTAGCTGAACTACAATCGCTATATTTTGAAGCAAGTTCAGCAAATGTCGCTTTTCCAGATACAATTTGTTCTCTGTAAGCTAAGTTTGCAAACACAATTATATAAATTTTTTAAGCAGTACCATAAGAAGATATAAGAAATATAAGAAATCTCACAATATATATGATCTACTTCAGCATTTTAAAGAAATGAAAAATATTCATATAAACATACGAGGTGTGACACAAAAGTAACGAGACTAGGTCTGTAACTTGAAAAAACAATGGAATTAGCAGCAATTGTTTTTGTGGCATCATCCCACATACCTCCTCTATCCATGTTGCCAATTTCGATTGAATCGGTCATACCATTTGGAAATATTGCGTTATTTAGTGAACACGTGCAACTGCATTCTGCCGGAAAAATGTCTAACGTAAAAACCGAACAGCGAATAAACATCAAGTTTCTTGTAAAATTTGTTGAAATCTATTGTAACATGTGATGAGACATGTATTTTTACCTATGACTCACAAAGTAAGCGCCAGTCGATGCAATGGAAGTCTTCAGGATCCCCAAAATCCAAAAAAGAACGCATGTCAAAATCAAAATTCGACATTAATGGTATTGTAATGATTGAGTGGTTTCTCAGTCGTCAAACTGTTAACTAACACTATTACATTGAAATACTAAAAAGACTTCGTGAAAAAATTAGGAAAAAAAGGCCACAGTTGTGAAGCGATGGATGGCTGTTGCTCCG